TGCCCCTCATAAATACTTAAATCGATATAATATAAATATTTTAGCACATCATTTCAATTCAAAGTTTTTCGTATCTTTGACATTTATATAGTTATTAAGTTACATTTTAGATGAACTTGGACATGTGGTCTGATTCTCTCTATTACATTTCAATTCTCACTTTCCTATTTTAGCATGGGTTTGCTATTAACACCAACCACCAATGTGCATGCACCATTCTCTTGCACACAAAAAGCTACCACTTCCACCTTCCCCCCTTCTTTCCTTAATTTGTCCCCACATATGATTACATGAGCTCATTGTTACCTACACACAACCCAAACTAAAACTCACCTCCACAACGATCACTCCTCATGCCTAGCGTCATTACTCAACCTCCATTCCATCATAATGACACACCTCCCTACTCCTTTCCAACCATCTAGCTTTCCCAACAACCTCTAAATCAAAAGCCATCATCTAAAAGATGAGCTTCTCCTCAGTCCATCTCCTCAGTCCACTTTCAAGCAAATTGTGAACTCTCTTTTCTAAGCACTAATCGACATCTCGCTAGGGTCAATTTGTCTTTTTCCAATTGAAGTTGTTGATAGCCAACACAACTGTAATCCTTTATATATAATTTATTGGCTTCCAATAATAAGAAACATTATTTTTCACCACCATCAAACTCAAGATCTTGTGTGCCCCATCCATAACTCACTTTAATAGCCACCCATTTCCTCTCTCTTAAAGGTCACACAATCAAGTGATGGCCCCTTTTTTTTACTAATTCTCTCAATTAGTTATTAACTTTTGGCCATCGATATCTCACTCTCAACAATGTTCTACATTATATAACATGATCTTCAATAGTACTCATATCATTTTTTTTGTTCATCTTTAAATTTTCTCCATCTGTTACTAACATTTTGCATTTTCTCTTGATGTTGCTAAAATCCTCTTCCAAAGTGTATGACACAATCAAGGGCAGAACCAAACTCTCTTTTGAGTGTGGACAAAATATGATTATAAAATACATAATCTTATATATGAAATTGAAATTTTTTTTTTTCTTAGAATTTGAAAAACTGCATTTATTGAAGGTGGAAAAAATAATTAAAATATTTAATTTTTAAGGGAAAAAAATGATTTTAAGCTTGGGCAATTGCCCATTATGAGTTCTTGGTATGACACAACACTGCAAATTTATCTCCACTCTAAGTTTGTCATCAATTGAATTTCTCTAATGATCAACTAATATGTGCCAATTACAATAAATTAATCACTATATTGGATCTCATTGATTGGTTCTGAATATTTAATTCCTTGTTATTTCTCAGCTTAAACCCTCCTCTATGTCTAAGACAACTCCTTTCAAAATGAAAACATAGTTTAGGCTTTCATGATTAGTAAACACCTTACAGATGACCTTATATAAATTATACCTTCATAACTTTAAAGCAAATACTATAGATGAAGACTTTAAATCATGTGGCATAGTTTTGATAATTATTCGACTATCTTAAATCATATGATATAGCATTCTTATTTAGTATTAAATGGTAACATAATTCTTTAAATGATGCATCAATGAAAATTTGGAATCCTTATAACCCCTATAGTAATGTGAACAAATACTCTAAACCCTAAAAACTATGAACTTAAGATAACCACTTGAATCTTCAAAGAGTCCATAGAAATACCCTACTTATTAATAACGTATTTTAGAAACATAATAATCTCCACCCAAAAGTCACATTAGTGAACTTGGCATATAATCTATGATCCATTAGTGGTCTCAAGTAGGGGTGTCAATTTTTGACCCGACTCGGAAAAATCCAGGTTTGGACTGACCCGTTTAGCAAACGGGTCGTGTTCGGGTTCAGATTTTTGACCCGTTTCAAAAACGGGTCGGGTTCGGGTTGACCCGAAAACCCGAAATCAACCCGATACTGACCCGAAACATCCGGGTTCACCGTTGCCGTGCTCGCACGGTCCCGCGCTCGTGCCTCATGCCGTCGCCCACTACCGCATTGCCGCGCATTTGGTCCCGCGGACTCTGTCCCGAAAGCACGGTGCGGTCCCGCGGACTGTCGGACCCAGACTGCATCCGAAGTCCGAACTCGCGCTGTCGCAAGCTCCATTCTCTACAGCGCGGGTCGGGCCGGGTCTGATCCGGGTTGAAAGGTCCGACCCGTTTGCAAAAACAGGTTGAATTCAGGTTGATCCGTTTAGATCCGGATCAACTCGGGTTCGACCCGAACCCGACCCATCGACCCGAATTGACACCCCTAGTCTCAAGTGAATTTTTTTATGTTAACCATGCATATGTTATATTGAACATTTTGAATATTTGGTCAATAACCAAACATAACAACAAATGAAAAATGAGTTTTAGTAATCACTAAAACATTGATCATGTTTTAAGATAAGACTCCATTTGGGACGAATTTTTTTATTATTTCTTAATGCAACTTTTTAATAAAAAATTAAAATACTTGTTCTAAAAAATTATTTTAAAAAATAGTAATAAAATCATCTCAAACAAAACTTAAAAAAAAAATAATTATTAAGGAAATTTAGATGATTAACTTTGGCCCATTTATTTAAATTAGATCACATCATTAGCTCATAAATCACAAATGAATCTTTCATCATATTAATTTGATTAATATATGCCAACACAGCCTCTTATCTTATTGACCATGAAAAATACTTAATAAGTTCAATTTCCCTTGGTTTTATTCATTTATGGGCAAAACAGATATTAATACAGCACAACATATCCAAGATTTGACAATCAAAATGCTGAAGTTCACCCCAAGGGCAGTAAGGGCAGTTTGATCCAAAGTATTAGTGGTCATAAAATAAAAAGAATATTCTAATTTTACTTTTTTAAAGTATGTAATATAAAATAAAATAAATACAAATTTTTTAAAAATATTAAAATAATTTTAAAATATCAATTTCTGTCCATTATAAACTCTTTCAAATTGAACGAATTCCAAATACATAAACCAATTCACAGACCAGCATTGCCCATTGAAGACATACTGCCCAAAAATTGTTTTTATAGTAAATTTTAAAAAGATATTGCATTAAACAAAAATAAATGATCTTTCAACTATAAAAATAAAAAATTGTCACCCTAAATTTACTCAAGCTCTTGTGTGCCCCATCCATAACTCACTTTAATAGCCACCCATTTCCTCTCTCTTAAAGGTCACACAATCTAAGTGATGGCTCTTTTTTTGACTAATTCTCTCAATTAGTTATTAACTTTTGGCCATCGATGTCTCACTCTCAACAATGCTCTACATTAGATAACATGATCTTCAATAGTACTCCTATCATTTTTTTGTTCATCTTTAAATTTTCTCCATCTGCTACTAATATTTTGCATTTTCTCTTTATGTTGTTAAAATCCTCTTCCATAGTGTATGACACAATCAAGGGCAGAACCAAACTCTCTTTTGAGAGTGGACAAAATAGAATTATAAATTACATAATCTTATCTATGAAATTGAAAAAGATTTTTTTTCTTAGAATTTGAACAACTACATTTATTGAAGGTGAAAAAAATAATTAAAATGTTTAATTTTTAAGGAAAAAAATGATTTTAGCATGGGCAATTGCCCATTATGAGTTCTTCCTAGTATGACACAAAACTGCAAAATAATCTCCACTCTTAACTAAAACTCTAAGTTTGTCATCAATTGAATTTCCCTAATGATAAACTAATATGTGCCAATTACAATAAATTAATCACTATATTATCTCATTGATTAGTTCTGAATATTTAATTCCTTGTTATTTATGAGCTTAAACCCTCCTCTGTCTCATTATAGTAAAACACCTTACACATGACCTTATATAAATTATACCTCCATAACTTTAAAGCAAATACTATAGATGAAGACTTTAAATCATATGTGGCATAATTTTGATAATTATTCGACTATCTTAAATCATATGATATAGCATTCTTATTTAGTATTAAATGGTAACATAATTCTTTAAATGATGCATCAATGAAAATTTGGAATCCTTATAACCCCTATAGTAATGTGAACAAATACCCTAAACCCTAAAAACTATGAACTTAAGATATACTTGTAAGTCTTATCCGAGCTAAAACCACTTGAATCTTCAAAGAGTCCATAGAAATACCCTACTTATTAATAACGTATCTTAGAAACATAATAATCTCCACCCAAAATTCACATTAGTGAACTAGGCATATAATCTATGCTCCATTAGTGGTCTCAAGTGAATTATCTTATGTTAGCCATGCATATGTTCTATTGAACATTTTGGAGATGTAACGGCAAAAACATTGTTCATGTTTTAAGATAAGACTCCGTTTGGTATGAATTTTTTATTACTTCTTAAAACAATTTTTTAATACCAAAATTAAAATACTTGTACTAAAAAATTATTTTAAAAAACAATAATAAAATCATCCCAAACAAAGCCTTAAAAACATGATTATTAAAAAAATTAAAATGATTAGCTTTGGCCCATTTATTTATATTAGATCACATCATTAGCTCATAAATCACAAATGCACCTTTCATCATATTAATTTGATTAATATATGCCAACACAGCCTCTTATCTTATTGACCATGAAAAATACTTAATAAGTTCAATTTCCCTTGGTTTTATTCATTTATGGGCCAAACAGATATTAATACAGCACAGCATATCCAAGATTTGACAATCAAAATGCTGAAGTTCACCCCAAGGGCAGTAAGGGCAGTTTGATCCAAAGTATTAGTGGTCATAAAATAAAAAGAATATTCTAATTTTACTTTTTTAAAGTATGTAATATAAAATAAAATAAATACAAATTTTTTAAAAAATATTAAAATAATTTCAAAATATCAATTTCTGTCCATTATAAACTCTTTCAAATTGAACGAATTCCAAATACATAAACCAATTCACAGACCAGCATTGCCCATTGAAGACATACTGCCCAAAAATTGTTTTTATAGTAAATTTTAAAAAGATATTGCATTAAACAAAAATAAATGATCTTTCAACTATAAAAATAAAAAATTGTCACCCTAAATTTATTTACAATCAATAAAAAAACATAGAGAATTCAAAATCCAGCATCCATTTATTTCAGTTTGCATTCGCAAAATATGCAAAGCCTTAACTACATAGGATCAAACATCCACAAAATAAAAGCCAAACTCACGCTATAAGAATGAAAGTTCACATGAACTCGAGAGCAGTCTCCAGCCAAGCTCTGTAGGTATCGTCTGAAAAGAGCACAAAGTGCACCTGCAACAATTAATCACAGAAAACTGTAAATCCTACAAAATAAACTATAAACACACAGGAAACGTTCAATATAGTAAATAACACAATAGGACGCAACAATTTGATATACAATGCTGCAGTAGTCCAGGACTTGGGGTTACCGGCTGATAATAAAGAGGCTCATGATTTTACCCAGCCGAATGGAGAGATTATTGGGTTCGGACACCGGATACAGCTTACCACTCGGTACTTCACAGTACCGAGTAATACTGAACTCGGTACTGTGAAGTACGGAGTTCGGTACTTCACAGTACCGATATGAAGTACCAAACTCATACTGAGCTCAGTGCTGAGTAGAAGGTGATGTGGCGCATTTTTATTGGGCTCCGAACGTCATCCGGTGTCCGAACCTAATAATTTGAATGAGGCAGTATAGTGCCAGATATCGCCTTGTCTTGTCAATAGATTTGACAAAAATACGATCCAACAAATATAGGGTGATTCGAACTTATATTTATCCTCGCACTATTCCAACTCCCAAATCAAATTCAAAGAGCCGAATAGTCTTCACTACAAACCAACTTTGATGGATTGAAACTTTAGCTTAAATGACCAAGTGAGAAGGAAAAAAATTCGGGCATGCAAGTCCATTGGCCACACATGATTAACGGAGGTGTAAAATCTTACCCCCCACAAAATTCTTTTAACACATGGCATTCATTTGCTTCCCCTCAACTATGTAGGCAAAGAAACTCTCCCCATTTTACGTTATATCCACTTAGTTTAGGAACTCTAGTTCAGCAACTTCTTTTCTATGTAAAGACTACTTAAATTAGCATGTTGACTGTCAAAATTCGTTCATGTTGTGATCTTCAAGAGTGTGAGTAATTAAATATAGCCCTCCAAAAAAAAAAAAAAGGATCAACATGTAAAAGGCCCTTAATAAAAGAGAAATTATTATGTGCGGAGGACATAACTCTGCGTTCGAACTCCAATTAAATGAAGACACGTAGATTTTTAATATATTTTTTTTATTTCTTGCCTAACCCGACGACCCGACGACCCGACTTGGCCCAGCTTCTGCCATTGGGTTTAGCGCTCGTTTTTAAGGAAAAAAACCCGTTAAAGCTACCCAATATTTAGAAGAAATTGTTACGTTTGGAATTAGGTCGTAGCTCTGCGTCTGAACTCCAATTAAATGAAGACAAATGAATTTTTAATATATTTTTTATTTATTGCCTGACCTGACAATCCGGCCCAGCCCAAAGATGAAAAAAAAAGACCTTCACCATCTGGTTCAATTTTAAAATTGTGGCAGACAAAAAGTCCCGAAGTTTGCGGAGTCTCTTATAAATACTGTGCATTTTTTAAACTTGCGCAATATGAGGCTCGCCTTGAGGCCCGCCTCAGCGCAATTCTAGTGAAAAATGTCTTAAAGCTTATTCCTCTAGCTTTTTTATAAGGCTTGCGCCTTAACTTGGCTGAGGCCCGCCTTGGGGCACATCTCGCATCGCTAGCGTGAGGCTTAGGTCTCATCCTATTTGTAATTTTTTTTTATTAAAACTAACATAAATCACGTCTTAATGCATATTCGAGCGCAACAACTTCCTCTCGTTTGCCTCTACCTCCAGCCCGTGGCCTTCACCGCAACCAACACCGTCGTAGCCGTCACCGACAATCATTTGAAAGTTGCACACCACCACCCTAAAAATTTTGGAGCATTAATCTCATATTTATGTTGATGAAAATATTTCTAAAAGATGAACACGATTGGAATAAATTAAAAAAAAAAGTATATTGGGAGGCATTCGACTCTACCGAATGAGATAGGGGATAGACCAATTTGTTATGACAACAACTCACATAAATATCACCTTAGTGATGACAATACAGATGATTCTTAAGTTGTTGCCAACTATTTTAGCTTTCATTAGGAATTAAATGTAAATGAGTAGATAATTGAAAAAGAAGAAATTTAGAGTTGAACTTGATTTTAAATGATACTTTTATGCAATTTTTATATTTAATATTATTTTCTCTTATAATATTTGAATTTTAATTCTATTTCATGAAATTTATCACTTGTTACTTTATATCTTGTGCAATTTTTTGTTTAATATGTATGTCAATTTGTTAATTCATAATTCAATAGGAAGTTATTATGTCATCATTTAACATATTATTTAGGTATTATATAAAAAATTATTTTTGACATTTATTATCACTTTACACACCTTTTTTATTCTAAGGCTTACGCCTTAAAACACCATAAGGCTTACACCTCACCTCATGAACAAGATACGCTTCAATACTCAATTGCGCAATTTTAAACATTGATACTATGTTTGGCGTTTCTCTTTAAATAGTGTAGTATGAAAGAGAAATTAAGTTTATGATTTTTTTAACTAATGTGTATATTATGTAAATGTATAATTTATGTACAATATGAACCTTTACAATATTAACATATTAATGTTTTTGTAAAAAAATATTAATGTTTTTGTACTTGTACATATCAATGTCGTCTACTCATACACATCCTGTGTATTGCATGTTAAACATGTAGCCTGATATAGTGTATATAAATTTTCTTTATACACACCCTGTATACAAGTTAAATAACAAATAATAGGTTCATTAGAATAAAATTTAAGCATAAATATCCTCTCAAACAACAAAAATAATAATTTTAAATCCTACATAAACTTACATAAATACATTTGTGCGAGATTTAAGCATAATTTAGTCTAAATCTAGTTAAAATAGCAAAAATGATAGCTTTAAATCCTACAAAAAATTTAAATCTTTTTAATTTTTTATATTTATTAATTTGATGTTTAATTAACTAATAAATAAGGATTATAATTTATAATTTATAACATGTTAACAAAATAGCACGCACTATTTGCATCATGCGTCATGCCGATGCATGGCACAAATAGCGCACTATTTTGATACATCGCGTTGCATTAAATAGCTCTATATGTGTGTCGTATAGCGTCGTGCATCATTTTACGCCATTGACATGTATGATACACATGTATAAGGGAATTTATACACCACTATATTTTGTTGCTGGTGTATTGTATTCAAACTGAATTAAATTGTTGTTCACACTTGTACAAATGCTTATAGATGTACACTCCAAAAATTAATTTTCATTGCATACCCTCAATATTTAGAGCTATCTGCGACTTTGGGGCATTCGACAATGAAGTCAATGATGCCTTAAAGAAATTACACATTTTAATTTCTAATTTCTAAAGTTCCCTGTATTTTAGCAAAATATTCCCTTAATATACAAGCTGTTGTCACGTAGGATGTGTAAGCAAGCAAGCCTTCATGATCAAGGAGCATGAACTACGATTCATTGCCGATGAAATAGTTTTACTTACTAGATTGTCAAACAGAGGTGTAGCTACATGGGTGTAAGTGAGCAGAGCCAGTTTGCGAGTGGGCTCAAACTCGACTCGTTAACAAGCTTGTGAATCAAACTTATCGATCTTGAGTATTATACGAGCTCGAGTTCAAGCATAGCTCGACTTAACTCAAGAACTCGTCAAGCCGGTTCGATTATAATTAAATATTATAAAACTAGTGTTAGTTGTGTATGCGTTACTACTAGCCTAATTTATTACCTATGCGCAAAAGCAGCCCTACCTAATTTGAAAGCAACCCTACCTTAATTTCGTGAGAGATTTGGCGACTTCTAGGAGTTGAGGCGGACATCCATCGATCTTCTCACGTGCACTAGCGATGGCAAGACATGGTTAGCACCCCCTTGTTTAATCTTCTTCTTCATTGCTCAACTGTAGTAGTTCATTACTTTCATGTTCGGCAAACTGAACAATTTTTTCGTTTTATCTTCCACAAATTTTGATTTCTCCCTTTTACCATTCTGAATCACAACTTGTGATTGTTGCTAATTTGTTATTTCTTTTTGAATGAAATTGTTTGATATGTTTCTTGGCAGGCTTTTTGTGGCCTCTGGAGATTGTTTATCGAGGGGTTATTCGATTCGTCTCCTTCAATCTACTTTTTACATTTTTTGTTTTTCTTTTTCCCAGGGTTATTTATTTCGCAATACAATGTTTTAAATTATTCTTGTTAAATTCCTTTACTGTTAGATTATTTTTCCACAGTATGATGATAGATTATATTTCTGGGTTAGCATTGTTTTATTAAAGCTTTTGATAATATTTAATCTTTTTCTTATCTGTTTAGGGCATTTATGTATTTATTTGTCTTTTAAAACTCATCAGACATTAATTGATAAATGTAAAGGTTAGCATAGTCCAGGTCATATAAATCGATTAAATAACCTTGCAAACATCATTTAATCCTAATTTTGTTGGACGCAATATATCTTCCTCTAGTGGAACAGCTTGGCCAGTAATAAATGTTCTTAGAGTCAGTATGATGCCTTCTCTTTGTCTTAGAGTTTAATAAATGTATTACATAATCGGATTCCTTTCTCCCAGTTAAATTTTCTTTTTTATTTTTCAAATATTTTTTCTTACCATTCATTGAATTATATTATTGTTTGAGCTCGATGCAATTGTTACCTGATTATTTTGGATCTTAATGGCTTGTAACGTTGTATAATTTTATTCTCTTTGAGGGAGACACAATGCATGAACTTAGTGAATAGAGAAATGTTGAAAATAAATGTGTTGAGGCTCAAAGTCAATCTTATGTTGCTCGTGAGCAGATGAATGAGGTTGTGATAGAAAATGAGCTTTCAATGACAGTAATGATGTTGGCAAAGAAGATGAATGAGAGAATGATGGGAATAACAAAAATAATGTTGAAGAATTGAATGATGAAAATGATATTGATAATGTAATTGAGAGGAAGAAGAGGAAAAAAAACATCAAAAGTTTGGGATTAAATTAAGGAAATTATTCTCCTTGATGGGTAAAGGAAAATAGTGTTTTCATTATAAGAAGAAACTAGCTTTGGGCGATATTGGTTCGACAAAAATTTAAAAAGCATTTGGAATGTTGCCTAGCTAGGATTCGTGTTTTGAAGAAGCATAAGATTTTACATTTCCAACCAATAGATGTTGAAAACTCCTGTACACAAACAAGTCAAGATGTAGGGATGTTAACAATGTTCAAATATGATAATCAGAAAGTAAGGGAAACAATTGCTCATTATATATTAATAAATGAAAAATCATTTTCTATTGTTGAAGAATTTTGTTTCAATTTAGTTTTAAAATTTATGTCACCTTACTTTCTGAAGTACTCACATGCTACCACACGAACTGATGTAATGTTGGTATATGAAAAAGAGCTGATGTAATGCCGGTATATGAAAAAGAAAGGAGAAAGGTGAAGAATACATTGAAGAGCATTAGCATAATTAGTTTTACAATTAATTTGTGGAATTCCAAAAACTAGAGAATCTCAAATATGGCAGCGACTGCACATTATGTTGATTCAAATTGGAGGTTACAGAAACACGTTTTAAGCTTTATGCATTTGCCACCACCACATATGGCATCTGAGTTAGTTGACACACTTTACAGAGCTTTGTGTGATTATGGGTTGAAAACAAAGTATTCACTATTTCTGTTGACAAAGTAGCGAACAACGACAAAGCCATTAAACTTTTGAAAGATAGATTTAGAGTTAAGAAAAAACTATTCTTTGGTGGTAGACTCTTTCATGTTCACTGTTGCGCTCATATGCTTTGATGGTAAAGAATGGGATAAATAGCATTGAACATGTGTTTGAGAAGATAAGGGATAGTAATTTTTGTAAATGCTTCTGAAAAGATAATACTAAGATTTGGTGATGTTGTGCAATGACAGTTACCTACTAGAAGATTAATAATGGATTGCCCAACACGTTAGAACTCAACGTACCTATGTTTACAGTGGCATTACAACTAAAAGAAGCCTTTTTTTCTCATAGTGAAAGAGAATTATCATATGCTAACTGTCCAATAGAGGATGAGTGAGAAAAAAATTGAAAAAGTTTGTGAGGTTTTGGGCATCTTTAATGAAGTCACAAATATCATTAAGGCATAGAGTACCCAACTGCTAATCTTTTCCTTTCCCAAATTTGCACCATTAAAAAAGTACTGGATGAGGGTGTAGCTTCAACTAATTATTTCATTGAGTAGACGACCAAAAAGAAGAAACAAAATTCGATAAACATTGGGATGAGTGTAACCGCATGACATTTAGTGCTGTTATGAATCCACGTAAGAAATTTGTTGTGATTGGACTTGCATATCCTAAGATATATCATGGAGAAAGCATCAGACATGTCACACTTGTGCGAAGCTTACTTTATGAATTGTATCAGGAATAAGTTGTTAGTTTTGAGCTAGAACTTCAAACTAGTAGAGCTAGCACAAGAGTTGCTTCAAAGAACACGAGCAGTTCGAGCAAGCATGCAAACATACATACAGAATGCCAAAAATATAGTGGATGGCATGACTTCACTTCATATGTATCAACCAAAACAAATACAAGGCCTGTAAAATCTGATTTGGACAAATATTTAGAAGATGGTTTAGAAATTAACAATGAAGGTCAAAAGTTTGATGTGGAGAAACAATCAAACTAAATATACCCTAAATGTAATATCAAAATCACATATTCTCTCTAGTATATTGAAATTAGGAATTCAAAATTACTTACCTTACATGTGTGGGGGAGCATTAATAGATGTTAGGTAATTTGTAAATTTTGTAGGGATGGGTGGTGCATACAACAAGAGATACTTCAACTTAGAGACCAATGCCAAATAAAAATATCTTTGGTTAAAAACCGAGAAACGTCATCTTTGAGCGCTATGCTGAACTATTCTACTCATGGGGGTAAAGTTTTTAAACATTGAGACACAAATAGAATACGATTAGAATCGGATTGTAGGATTGCTCTAAGATTAATGTTGGGAATGATATGAGATGGATCGACATATCTTGGTTGACAACTAATATTTGTCATCTTTTTTTTTCTATTTGATGGAAATGCTTTCAAGCATATTGATGCGAACTGATTGTTGAAATTTGGAAGCACAATGCTTCGTCCTACCACTATTGCAGAGAAATTGCAGAGGCTCGAATCTTGGAACCATTTTCTAAATGACCATAAATATATATATTTTTTACCAGAATACATTAGAAATATAAATAAGGATATACCTTCAAAATTTAAAACTGAGTGATTAAATAGAGGTATTGTAAGAGTGCAATATGAAGTTATAGGGATTTACATGGAGCTTAGGCAAAGTTGCTATTAGACTACTTTTTATAGAGATCGAAGCATTGTTGATGAAGAAGTCATTGATAACCAAATTAAATGTAGAAAAATAAGTATGTTAAAAAGATCGTGAAAGACTAGAATGGATATACTATCAAATGATTATAATTTGGGGAATGTGGAGTGTTATAAAATCATATATATATATATAATTGCCCAATTTAGTCCAAAAGTTTCGTACTACACCAACTTAATTCCTCGACCATTGAAAATTGATCAAATTTTGCCCCTCGGTTAAAAACATATAAATTTAACGTAATATTTAGCAAATCCCTGCTTTCCATAATGCGAGTGGGGAATTTCAATAAAAACATTTAAATTTCATTTTTTTACAACATCCAAAATCATCCCGTTCTTAAGCCATCATCTGCGAGGATGAGATCGAGCAGTGAAGGACTTTGGAGTTCCACCTGAGAGCAACGAGCCATTGGAGAAGCGTATGGCAAAAATCAACGAGCTTCTTGAAGCGATCTCCACCCAAGCAACATGTGAGCGGCCACAGTTTCCAATTATGCGTGCAAGTGGTGAATTTTGAGCAGCGAATCAACATCTCAAAAGAATGTGAGCGCTATTTTCGGCATGCAAGCAGTGAAGTCGAAGACAAAGTACATGGAGCAAGCAGGATCTAAGAGTTTCGTAATTAATGACAATGTTTTTTGTAATAAGGTTTGGAATTTTGTATGATTTTTCATTTAGATTTTGCTAAATAAACAATATTCTTTTATTAATTATGCACCCTTATTATTAAGTTAACTTTTATTCACATTTGTGCATTTATTAGAATTTATTAAATGATAAAATAGAGTAATATAAGCAATATAATCTCACATACATTTGCACTACCTAAAATGCACTTACATTTAACTTAGATGTTAACTTTAATCATTATTTTTGACCCTGAGACCAAATCGAGTCAACTTTTAATAGTCAAGGGATTAAATTGGGGCGGCGCAAAATTCTAGGACCAATTTGGGCACTTGCTAATAATCAGGGGACCATTTTAATCTTTTTCTCTCTCTATAGATTAGTAGATGAAACTTTCGTAGAAGAAACAAAAATAGGAGTAAGACCACAGATTTAATTCCTTAGCAAATTTCTCTTCAAAGTTCAAAACCATAAGGGGTTTTCAAGTTCAATAATAACACTTACTAAAACATGCATCATGCTCGTTCATGCATTAAGATAGATTAAGCATGAGCATAGGATATGTGGGGAAAATTTCATGGTATGGGTTAAGCTAATCATTTAACATTAGTTGAAAGTTTTTAAAAGATATAGTTGAAGTCATAATCAAATAGTCCCTCAATATAAACCAAATATTGTTCAAGCTACACTTAAAAATGTGAATAGAGGCTCTAAAAATAAGGAAACTTCAGTAAGTTGAAGGCACTAAACAGAAAACCAATTATACGTCTAGAATGTGGAGCTGCATCAGAATAGCTATAGGGTTTGAATAATGAAAAAGGCTATGCAAAATCAAAGCTAACAAGACTGTACCTCTTTGAAATCACTTGGGAACTCCTTGATTGCAGATATAGCTATTTTGGACGCTTCATCAAAAGGATATCTAAAAGAATATTTCAAAGAAAAACAAGTAAGACCGTGTTCTTACAAGAAAAGCAAGAAATAGGATTTTCAATATTTGAGGATATAACAAGGAAATCAACAAAACTATTATCTTTTACAAATAGAAATTTTAGATACTTCTTTACCGATAAACACCACAAGATATGGCTGGGAATGCAATGTAGTGAATGTTATTCTCTTTTGCAACCTTCAAGCTATTTCTGCAATTATTAGTGCTAACCAATGAATAAAAAGAAAGTGAAGGGATGGGGACTATATGAATGCCATACAGCTGTCAGAGAGGGGGCACTGAAAGGAATATTAGTGGGCGTGGATGCTTACATATATGCATTTCTTAGGAGAACCTCAGGTTTGTCTACCGCACCATAAATGGGCCCAACAGTGTGTATCACTCGAGACACTGGCAGCTGAAAAGCTCTACATAATGATCAAAGTTATAAGCATTGTCCTTACTAAGTTTTTTTATAGATGCTAAACAAAACCATAGATTACAATTCTTACGGTGTTATACGTGCTTCTCCAGTAGGACAACGAACTCCAGGTCGAACCTCTGGCACCTCATAACAGGCAGTTTTTAGCTCTGGACCAGCAGCTCGATGTATGGCTGCAGCAGTGAATCATAATATAAAGACGAGTCTCATACAAAGATATACAAAAGTTATTAAGAAAATAGAAGACTTGGTAACCTCCATCAACACCACCACCTCCAAGCATTCTCTCGTTTGCTGCATTGACCTGCCAAAATACTTTATCAAAGATCTTACCTAAAGTTATTTCATGAGAGAACATAAAGCATACAGAACCACAGAGTAGCACCAAAGTCAGATTCATGTAATTTATTGACAAACTATTACAAAATGAGGATTTTGTTTTTAAGAATTCTTTGAAGGTATTTGTCAATTTACATTTTTCATTTTTGCAAAAGAACCTCCAAACTTGTTCAACTGATATCAGATCAAACGTGATAGACGAATTGTACCGTGGAGATTCTTAATAAACCTAACCGTTTTCAGTATCTTCAGCCCAGACATCCCTGTTGTGGAATGACCTAACCCTGTCGCTTGACCTAAAACCCATCTATCCATTTATGAATATTCATAAGAGAAGCACAAGAACATCAAACAAAGACAGTGGCTGATTTCCAGTAACATCCTTAGATAATTCCATGCCATCTTACTCTTCTTTTCAAGCAGTGGCTCCCCGATTCGAAAACTAGTTATCACAACTTCAATATCAAAAACTTTTAAAGCTCAACCTTCTAACAAACTGTTCTCCGCGGATACGAAACAAAGGTTGCCAATAAGTCAACTGAGAGTTTCACGTTCATTTGTTGCAAGAAAAGTATATTAGCTGAAGATTGCCTCAGAGAAGGCTAAGAAACTGCCCTATTCTGTGAAAGTTGCAAAAAACATTCCTCACCAAAAGCCTTTTCCTCTGAGAACTTGACATAAAAAACATACTAACCATTAACCAATAGTTGATCACATTTTCTGATTTGTACGAACAAACAAAAAATATGAAAATTCAAAATGGAATTCAATTGCTGCAGTAGATAACCATTGAAAATACATCTCATGTAAGTTTAAGGACATCACCAAATAATCATTATTCTTCCATTGTAATTTATCATCAACTTGAAATAAGGTAAGCTTATTGGACTTACAACAAACTTAGGATAGGGGGACAGCAAAAATATAAAGTTTATAAAATACATCTAGAGGTATAAACAAGTCGAGAAAAGCTCGAGTCATTGGTCAAATTGTGAGCTCAAACTCGATTTGAGCTCGTGGCAATGAAAGCGGGCCGCATGAAAGCTCATGAGATCATGATAAAAGGCTAAAAAGAAGGCAGAGATGTGATACCGATGGAGAGAAGGCATGAGGTGCGCAGCTGCATTTAAAAAAAAAAACATTTTTTTGGAACCACTGCAGTCATACTAATATAATTATAGTTTTTTTTTGGAAGCATGAGCTTTTTTTCATATGCTAGTTGTATTTTTCAAGGAAAAATAATAGACCCTAACAATTTCTCAAGAGAAAAAAATCCTAGTAGCTACATCATTCCGAGCCAACTTGTGAGTTGAGCCTCATCAAGCTCGAACTCTATTTTGTTTAATATACAAGCCCAAGCTTAAGCTCATATAAAAGCTTGTAGCTCAATAATCTTGGCTCGCAATTACATTATCAAGATACTTGTACCCTAAATAATCCATTTTCTAGAAAGAGGACTTTGACCCACATAATTTACCTACTTAATAAAACATATAATTATTCTGGAAACATGAGAATATTCTTTGTTGGATTGAATTGAAAACCTAGTTTTTTCATTGATTACACTATTTGTTGACAAGTCCCAAGCACTAGAAGAGAAAAGTTGAGGGTTGTATTAGGCATTGTTTAAAATTGCGCAATATGAGGCTCGCCTTGAGGCCCGCCTCAGCGCAATTCAAGTGAAAAATGCCTCAAGGCTTATGCCTCTAGCATTTTTATGAGGCTTACACCTCAGCTTGGCTAAGACTTGCCTTGAGGCATGACTCGCCTCGCTAGCGTGAGGCTTACACCTCACCCTATTTATATACTTTTTTTGTTAAAATTAACATAAATCACACCTTTATGCAATTTGAGCACAATAACTTCCTCCCGATTGCCTCTACCTCCATCCCACAGCCTTCGCCGTAGCCAACACCATCATTTTTGTCACCGACAATCACTTGAAAGCTGCACACAACTACCCTAAAAGTTTTGGAGCATTAATCTCATATTTATGTTGATAAAAATATTTCTAAAAGATGAATATAATTGAAATAAATTAAAAATAAGCATATTGGGAGGCATTCGACTCTACCGAATGAGGTAGGGATAAACCAATTTGTTATGCAACAACTTAGATAAAGATCACCTCAGTTATAATAGTGCAGATAATTCCTAAGTTGTTGCCAACTATTTCAACTTTCATTAAGAATTAAATGTATATGAGTAGATAATTGATAAAAAAGAAAATTTGAAGTTGAATTTGATGTTATATGATACTTTTATGCAATTTTTATATTTAATATTATTTTGCTTTTATAATATTTGAATTTTAATTCTATTTCATTCAATTTATTACTTGTCATTTTAGATCTTGTACAATTTTTTGTTTCAAATGTATGTCAATTTGTTAATTCATAATTCAATAGGAAGTTAATAAGTCATCATTTAACATATTATTTAGGTATTATATAAAAAATTATTTTTGGCATTTATTATTACTTTACGCAATTTTTTTTATTTTGAGGCTTACGCCTTGCCTCATGAACAAAAAACGCCTCAATACCCAATTATGCAATTTTAAACATTGGTGTTAGGTAGTTGAAAATCAATATAAAACTTCTTCGACAATCATAAAATGAATCATTTAATATATTATGTTAATAGTAGGGTGTTCACTGGAAGCGCATGATGTATGACCTGAATACAGTGAAAAATATTCAAGGGTCGTTGCACCGGTGCCCAGGTGAAGTGTTAAATAAACAACGGTTCCCACATCATAGACATGTGTGGACAAAGAAACTAATCTATGAAACTAGAATTATGATAAGATAATAGAATATATGTTCTCTTATAAGAAAATTAATAAAATTAATATATATTATGATTCATATGAAGATAAATATTCTATACATGCAGGAAACTAAATAGGTTGAAAAAAAGACAAAGGATATTGGTATCTCAAAATTTAAACTTTAGTATTCAGATAGAAGTCGTACTATATATGATGTAGGTGTGATTATAGATAAAAATTTAAAAAATAATGTTGTAGAAATTAATAAAATTAGAGATAAAATTATAAATCTAAAGATTATTTTTTATGCTAAAATTATTAATATTATAAATATTTATGCTCAAAAAGATCTGGATACATGTTCAAAATTTAAATTTTGGAGGAGATTTAAATAAACATATTAGTAGAGTGGTAGAAGATTTTAAAAGCATATACAATGACGATGGGTTTGAAGTGTATAATAAAGGTTGTAAAATCATGTTAAATTTTGTCTTAGCTTATAATTTTGTGATTGTTAATACTTTATTAATAAAAAGAGAAAAACATCTCATCATTTATAAAAATGGACATAATAAAACTCAAATTGATTATTTTCTTGTAAATCAATTAGTTTGCAAAGATTGTAAAGTCATTCTAAATGAAAGCACAAGTACCCAACACCGCTTATTGATTTTGGACTTTAAGATGAAGGGGTAATATATGAAAAATAAAGTAAAATGTTATCTTAAGATTAGATGAGGTCATTTAAAGAATGCTAATGCAAATATTTTTGAAAGTGAGATTCAATATCTCAAAATTTAAATTATTCATGAAGCTAATGTTATATGTGAAAAAATAACTAATGATATTAAGAATGTTGCAAAGTATGAACTTGAAAAATCAAAAGAAAAAGCTCCTAATTGTAAAAATAGTTGACAGCAAAATCAAAATATATAAGAAAATATAAAAAATAAGAAGCTTTATTATAAAAATTGATTTAGATGTAAAAGATTAAAAAATGAAAAATATGTAAAGTCTGTAGGGACTCTAAGAAAGCTATATACAATGCAAAGAATTTAGCTTTTAATGATTTATATAAATTCTTAGATACTAAGGAAGATGAAAGATGGAAGTATAAGTTAATCAAACAAAGAGATAAGAGCAGGATCTAATTCAAGTGAAGTGTACTAAAGATTAAGATAAAAAAGTGTTTTTCTTAGAAGGTAATATTCAAAATAGGTGGATGAGATAATATGATAAGCTTTCAATAAAGATTGTAAAAATACGATTGATTTTAATGCCCTTAGAATCCTAAATGAAAATAAATATTTTTATTGTCGTATTAATAAAATTGAAGTTAGAGAGACTTTAAAGAAAATGAAGCGTGAAAAAGAAATGGGACTTGATAATATTACAATAGATGTGTGAAAATACTTATAAGATCAAGAGATTTCTTGGCTTACTAAACTTTTTAATATTATTTTGAAAACTAAAAAGATATCAGATAAGCGGAGGAGTGTGTTGGCTCCTATTTTTAAGAATAAAAGTGATGTCCAAGAGTGTGTGAATTATAGAGGAATTAAGTTAATGTGTCATACATTAAAATTATGGGAGAGGGCAATTGACCATATGTTATGATGTGATATTAATATTCTCAAAATCAATTTAGATTCATGTTGGGTAGGTCTACTATGGATGCTATACATTTGTTGAGAGGTTTGATGGAGAAGTACAGAGAGAGTAAGGAGGATTTACATTTGATATTTATTGATTTATAAAAAGCATGTGATAAAGTTCCAAGAGAAGTAATCTAGAGAGCTCTAGAAAAGAAAGGTGTTAATAATGCTTATATTCAAGTCATTAAGAATATGTACGCAAGAGCTATTACTTGGGTTCAAATACAAGATGGTTTGACCAAGTATTTTCCTATTTCAATTGAATTACATCAAGTATTAGCTTTAAGGCCATATATTTTGCTTTAGTCATGGATGTTCTTATTAAACATTTGCAAGAGGATGTACCTTATTGCATGGTTTAAAATTGCGCAATATGAGGCTCACCTTGAGGCACGCCTTTACGCAATTCCAGTAAAAAAACGCCTCAATGCTTATGCCTCGAGCTTTTTTTATGAGGCTTGCGCCTCAACTTGGTTGAGGCCCGCCTCGCCTCACGCTATATATATTAAAACTTACATAAATCTTGAAGTAAATGCCCGACATTGGACTCTATAGGAGAGTAGGAAGGGGAGGAGAGCAGTTCACCATAATGATGATTCAAATGAAGAACCCCTTAGTGACGACAGTGCTGATGACTTATGAGTTCTTATGTGATATGTCATTGCTATTTATTTTTGAAAATTGAAATTATATGTTAATTAAAAGAATTCTGGGATTTGGGAAAGATAGAATTTTGAGTTAAACTATATTTCATGTTCTCTAATTATTGAGATATTTTGATTTCACTTCATATCTTATGTTTTTTTTATGTTTTATATTATTTACTCATTAGTATATAAAAAATTTATCATTTTATGTTTACGCAATCTTTTGATTTTGAGGATTACACCTCAAAACGCCTTGAGGCTTACGCCTCACCTCACGAATGAAAAACGCCTCAATACCTGAATACGCAAATTTAAACATTGCCTTATTGTATGCTTCTTTTTTTTTTGAAATTCCTATTGTATGTTTTTTGCAGATGATATTCTTTTTGTTGATAAGATTAGAGAATGAGAAGAAGGGAAACTTAAATTATGAATATCAACCATAGAGTGTACAAGTTTTTGTTTGAGTAAATATAAAAATGAATACATGGAGTGTAATTTTAGTAGTAATAGATCTAATGGTAGGTTTGTTACTTTGGGCGATCAAGTCTATAAAAAAATTGCAAGTTTTAGATATCTTCAGTCTATAGTTCAAAACGATAGTGAAATATATGGAGATATTATTAGTAGAATTCAAATTGAATGTTTTAAGCAGCCGAATGCATCGGGCCTACTGTGTGATAGAAAAGTATCTCTCAAACTCAAGGGAAACTTTTATAAGATGTGATGAGACCTGCAACATTTTATGGCGCAGAACGTTGGCTAATATAAGAAAAGCATAAATTTAAGTGTTGCAGAGATGAGTATGCTCAGGTGAATGTGTGGTTTTACACTTAGAGATAGAAAGAAAAACAATTATATACGTGAAAAGGATGAAGTGGTTTTACACTCAGGTGAATGTGTGGTTTTACACTTAGAGATAGAAAGAAAAACAATTTAGATTAGAAAGAATCATCTTAGATGGTTTGGTCACATAAAGCGTTGGCCTTCCGATGACATGGTTAGGAGAGAAGATGTTTTAGATCCGGCCTAAGTAAAGAAAGTTAGAGGTAAACTTAAAAAGACCTAGTTAGAAAATATTAGAAATGACCTTTATTTATTAGATTTAAATAAGAATGACTCTTAATAGGATACAATGGTAAAAAAATGATTCAGGTAGCCGACCCCACATAGTGGGATAAAGGCTTGATGTAGTTGTACAAAAAATATTATAAAGGTCTTTCAGGATCAATCTAGCTCCTTCCGAAAGCTTGGTAAAATCATGACAGGAAAAGAAAGAAATCGTATTCTCTCTCAAAAAGAATGTTCTACTTTAAAAAATGCACAACAATACCCAACATCCTGATTCTCAAGGCTAGAATTTTAAACATAACTATAGAGAACTATATGCAGTGACACATCATTTCCTAATAATTGAATGTTCTAACTGCAATTAGTTTTTTTTAAAAAATCGGTGATTCTGAAAATCCAACCAAAAGAGGAGAACAAGTTCAACACAGGGATCAATGCAAGACAAATAAAACAAATTGGGAAACACTATATAAATCAGGTATCAGTTAAAAGATGTTCATGGATTCTTGAAAATGAAAGGCATAAAAAAGGGTTTAACTATAAAAAGCAAATCTGGTCCTATTAATATCAACTTGAATGATCTAAAAGAATAACATGACAAGTCAGGGCATTAAATATATGTTTCAGCTTTTCTTATCAACAAAAAGTTGAGCGCTTCATCCGTTTTATTAAACTAATGCCACAAAAGAGGGCATAAAAGGTTCAAGCACGACAGCAATCCAAACAACATTTCATGACGATCAAAACCCAGCTCTTATCTAAAAGTAACATATATACCCCAAATCGAAGGGGAACAGAACAAAATTCGTCAAGATGAAATTTGGAAAAAAAAAAAAGCATATACGGTAAAAGAACCTACTAACTCTTACAAGCCTCTTCCCGATACAACCTAAACATTGTACCCTACAAAATGGCAACTAATTTAATTGCGTAAAAAGCTCGCGTCTCAAACACTTGGAGGGATTAAAAAAAAAACCTGTAATCGATCCAAAAAAAAAAAAAATCAAGCCATTGGGCAGCATCGTTGATTTCTAACTCACAATAGCATCTGTCCTGCCGTCCACGAACCAAGAAGTGATGTCCCCTTTCTCAAGCTTGAGGACGCTGGAAGAAGAGAGCTCAAAGCAATCAACCTCTCCAAGCCTTTCCCACTTCCCCGCCGAAGACGAAATCCCAACCTTGGCCTCGCCAGCCACCACGGCATTGGAAGAAATCGAAGTGTCTTCCATCCTGGAAAAAACGATTGGAAACCTTGCCGGGGCTCTGATAGATAAATGGCGCCGATCAAACACAGGCAATTTCGGGAATCTTCTAGGGTTTCGTTGGCTCAGTACTGCCCGGATGACTCGCAGAGCTCGAGCCCCGTTTAAAAAGACTGACGAAGCCCTCACCATACGGAGCAATTTTATTTTAAAGGTTCAGCAATGAAGATAACGTGGAATAATAGGTAGGATTTGGGGATCTGTAGGCTTCTCTTAACCGTCCATTGGTCATCTGGATTTGATCACAGCCGTTCAATTATATAGCAATTAAATATTTCATAAAATTTATTTTGAGTCAAAACATTCTTAAATTCAAACTATTTTATATTTTCAACTCTCACTATTTCTCTCTCAATAATATTTATTGCTCATTCATATATATTCTTCTTATAGCTTAAGGAATATTTCATATAAATGTGAGAATATCAGTGATAATGGTTTAAAAGTTTTGACAAATGAGTTGAATCAAATTTTGACATCAATGAATTTGTGTTTTTAATGTTTAGAGCATAAGGGCATATGTTTAGAGTTCATTTTGTTAGAATTATAAACATAAAACAAGATAGATTGTCGAAACAGGTTCGAGCAAGACTCGTTAGGATTTTAATAATGATTGAACTAATTTAATGTTGCTCGAAACTAACACTTTGTTTGAGACAGTTTTATTGTTTCTTCTTAAAGTAGCTTTTTAGTACAAAATTTAAAAATTTTGTACTAGAAAGCTGCTTTAAGAAATGCAAAGAAAGTCGTCCCAAATGAAGCCAAAATCAAATCTTGTAACCCAACTATTAATCAAAATATACATTAGCTAAATTTTAGGACTAGGATAATCTTGACCTAAAGTCGAATTCGAAAAGCTATAAGACTATCCATTGCATGAGAACTAAGACATCCACTTCATGAAGTTGCATTAACACTTGGGCTTTATTTGTGACAGCTTTCTTACTGCTTCTTAAAGCAGCTTTCTAGTACAAAATTTTAGGAAGATTGAAGATCTAGTGTTTACGCTTGTCTAAAGGTCATAAAGAAAAAAAGGTTGAGTAAACCTGAGAAGTGAGATCAACACATTTTAAAAAATCTTTGAAAATCTAATTAGAATTTTCCTAGCGTACATCAAATATTAACTTAAAAAGTCTTTAGCCTTTTGATAGAACATATATCAAATATTAACACAACAAAAATTCAACCTTTCTACTAAGCATACATCAATTATTAACTTAGCAAGTATTCAATCTTTCTACTAGGATTAATCTTCTTAGATTTGCATTAGTCTAAGAATATACACTACTTTAACATGTTGATTATATATTTGTCCCCCATGCCTCACTTTAGATGACTGTATACTTAAGACAGAGAAACTTTAAAGTCAATTCCTTCAATTATTAGAGGTGATTGTACAACATAGGGTACCATCACAATATAATGGAGTTTTTCCTCCATAATACCACAACAATTTAGAGACAACATCAATCAATGAGCATCACCATCCTCATGAGGTTATCAAGATCTCTTTGATATAATTGGTTCAAAACATCCTCCCCTTATTATTCACCCAACCCATAATCCTCGACCTATTGTAGAAGGTTTATATCAACATCATTTTTTAATACCCCTTGAGATGGTATAAAAAAATATAGTATAAAGCCTTATTCCTGAGATATTTCCTTTGAGGGAGTGTAATCAATTTAATCATCCACTTAGCTTCCAAGAGTCCTCACCCTTAACAAATGAAATTCTCTGACATCCTATTCCCATGGGATTCAAGTTGCCTACAATCGAACCATATGATGGAACATTTGATCCCTACGAACATATTTATCATTTTAGGACCATCATGCTATTGGAAAATAAAAGTTTGGATTATCACCCACGTAGATTCTGAGTGCTCCTATTTTTGTGATCAAACATGACATAAAAAATATCGTATCATCTCAAGAGATATATGATATTCTATAATAAATTCAAAGATAAAAATAAGGTTTTAAATTTTTTTATTTTTTTAGTTAAATATAATAAAAAGAATAACATATTATCTTGAAAGGTAGACATGTCATTCTAAAATAGTATTTAAAAATAAAATGAAGTTTTAAAAATTATCATTTCTATAAATAAATATAATAGGGAGAATATAATATCACCTCGAAAGACGAACTTAACATTTTACAAAGGTATTTGAATGCAAAATTGGGTTTTAAAAACTTGTCATTTATGTAAATAAATACTACAGACACAATATCATATCACCCTCAAGGGTAGACACGATATTCTATAGAGGTATTTGAATGCAAAAATGAGTTTTGAAAAATTATATATGTTCCCAAAGATTTTTTTCTTATCTTATGAAAATAAGATAGGGTCTATTTTAAGTTGGAGTTACAGGTAGAGGTGTCAAACTGAGATTTTGGGTTGGGTTCAGGTCCAACCCACCCAACCCATAAATGATCCATCATCTTATGACCCGATCCGAACCGCCCCTTTTAGTAAAATGGGTTTGAACCCGAACTCAACCTAGTATAGATCCAAATTGACCCAAAAATGACCCGCCAACCCGTTTTATTTTAATTTTGATTTTGACTTCAATTTAAACTAATTAAATTAAATAATTAATCTTAATTCTTAAATTATAAAAAATAGAAAAAATTTAAATAATAAATTACATATTATACACCATTAAAATTATAGCATTCACAAATTATAAATCACAAATTACAAAATATAAATTTCAAAATTCAAATAACATATTATAAATAACAAATTACAAATTATACATCATAAATTACAAATTAAATATAACACCAAATTGCACTAAAGCAATGAACTATGCATTGAAAAACTATAGAACTATAGAAGTATACCATAAAACTAAACTTTAAGAAGACTAAGATAGAACTACATAAGCATAACTTCATGACAATAATGATATAATAATACTTCAGCAGTCAGCACAGAGCCACAAATTCACCATTTCACCCTATAATATAAATTAAACTTGAAGAGAAGTTTCCAATAATAGTTTGTAGAGTGATAATTGTAATATGAATAGAACCTTAAACTATAAAAAATTCAAAATAATAATAAAAAAATATAATACCCTAATTTCATAAACCCAATGATTGTTAAAGAATGTCTTTGAAACTGGAAGAAGATGTGAGAAAACATGAATCCCAAACTCCTAATAACTTTGAAATCCATCAAAATGAAAAATAGTAAAATACCCTAAGTAGACAAAGAGATTAAAGATATAAATAAATATACTTTTGGGCCAATGAACTTCCACCAAGATGTTGCCTTTATACACTAACAGCTACTATAGAACTTATGAGAGAGCAAGAGGCCAAGAGCAAAGTGAAAAATAGAAGAAGTCGAGAAAAGTATGACAAAAAACTAAGAATGAAGTTGACAAAAAAACTAAAATAGAGAAGAGAATAGATGTCTAGATGGCCACGTGAAAACTGTTAAAGCATTTACTTAAAATATAAACCTCAAATTCATAGGTTTTTATATCACTTTTGGGTTTCTGGGTCAACCCAAACTCCACCCAATTTTTAAAATAGGTCGGCTCGTTGAACCTAAACTTGAGATGTATAGCAAATGAGTTAACTCAAACATGGAATTTTTTTAGTCAGGTCTAAGTCAGGTTTTGGGTTAGGTCAAGTCTTGACACCGCTAGTTATAGGTTTTCCATAAAGGAAAACCTTTATGGTTAATAATATCCCATGAGAGGTAACTCTCCTAAAATATTCTCGATTAAAGTAATGAAAAATATTTTTCTTAGATTTAAAAAATTAAGTTAAGAATGAGAGATTTTAGAGTTTTTAAAGGGGATTAGATCAAAGTTAAATAGTTCCTTCTGGAGGCCAAAGGATCAAAGGTAGCGAGCACTAGGATTTTGAGACTGCACATATGTCACAACCCAATCAGACTAGGATAGGTCATGTCGTATTGTACTGTTACTAGCAAATCCCAAAATCTAGTTTTAGAATTATTTCAATTTTTTTCCAATATTTAATGAAATAAACTACATATTAAAGAGCTTCTAAAATGTCCAAATACTAAAAAATAAACTCATCCCCAAGGTTTCTTTCATTTCATCAAAATAAATAGCTACATTATAGTACACGGCTACAAACAAGAGCTACAGAATTGAAAATTTACCTAGTCATTATTGCATAGAAATTAAAATAACAAAATATATATAACCTCATATTTGATCCTAAACTATTATTACACAATCTCCTTCCACTTCCTAGATCTTGAAAACATAAGCAAAATCACAGTGAGTTATAACAACTCAGCAATCCACACAATGCATTCTAAATTTTTAAATATTTTTAATCAAATATTTTGTTAAATATTTAAAGTAGTTAAATGTAGTTTAAACAAATCACTATATTGAGAGATGTAATAAATGCATAGTAGTTATTTCCTGATTTAAATGATAATAGTGAATAAATAAGTAAATTGAAATTCATATCACATAGTAGTTCATATCACTTTTCCCAAATCTAAATATAATCTCAAAAGATTTTAGCCCCTTATGACTCTCTTTAATGCTTATAGCACAAAAACATATCACATATATATGTCTTAGACAATATCTCGAAGGACTTTAACCCCTTATAACTCCAGTAATTCTCTGACACAAATATAATCTCAGATAATTCTGGCCCCTTATGTAGTGCCTCTTCCTAGGTTTCAAAACTTTTAGCTTTGGATCAGGATTGAAAAACTATTCAGGTGTGGGTATAACCATATTTTTCTCAAGTGTCTTCAATTGAGCTTTAAAAAACGAGTTAGCACTTTCTAAAATAGTATTATCAACTTTTAAATAGTACTTTATATGCTTAGATTCATCAATATAAGTTTTAAAATCATTTTCAAGTGCAGTGTGGGATGCTTTTAATGAATCATGCTCAATGACCAACTCAGAATATATTTTATTTAACTCATCAAAATCATCAAGTAAAAACATGTGATTCCTATCAATTATAGAGTGATCTTTTAGTAAAACTTCATGTTCTTTTTATAAATTTAGAAGTTCTAATTCCAGGCTAGCATGCAATTTCTTAAGCTTCCTATATGATGCATGAATTTATTCATAAATTTTAAGTAATTATTTATAGGTTAGTTCACATACCTCTTCTTGATCAGACTGACAAAGA